CACAGGAGGCCACCTATGGTGGCTGATTGGACACAGGAACCACAGGTGCTGTGCTCAGATGGAAGCAATGTCTGGAGGGGATTGTGGTCAGTGTCTGCTGAGCCCTCAGCACTTCAGGCTTCCCAATCGCCTGGACAGTTGGCTTCCATCTCCTGTCTTGGGAGGAAACTTGAAGATCCTAAGCAAACTCCACTTATCCACTTATGGTGTGTGTGTGTGTGTGTGTGTGTGTGTGTGTGTGTGTGTGTGTGTGTGTGTGTGTGTGTGTGTGTGTGTGTGTGTGTATGTGTGTGTGTACATATATCCTAATCCTGGAGCTTGAACTCATGGCCTGGGCACTGTCCCTGAGCTAATATTTGCTCAAGGGTAGCAATCTACTACCTGACTTGCAGCTCCAGTTGTTTTTTTGTGGTTAATTCGAGGTAACTAATGATTGATATACCACTAATCAGGAACAACAATCCAGTCATGGGTTCCTGGAAGGGATGGACTGTGTTGAGCAAGGCTCCTCCTTTGTCCAGGGACTCTCCTTGGTTCAGGTATACTATCTTGGTTCCCATCTGCCAGATTCCACAGAGAAAAAAGAGATGGAGGCTGATTGTTCAGGTGGTCGCAGAGGCTGAGAGGCTCAGGACTCTGCAGACACTGCCCAGAATTCCTCCCAGACATGGCTGCCACTGACCACAAACACTATGCATCCTGTGCCCTGTTAACTGACCTAGCTGGCTACCTGGGCTTATCTCCTGCCTTTGATGCTTCCTTGGTCCAGTCAGACACAGGTATGCTTAGCCAAGAGCTCCCTACACGCCTTCCAGGACCCCAGACTACTCCTCCAGGGCTACACTCATTTGTACTGACTGTTCAGATTCCCCTGTGCTCATGCACCTATCTTCCAGCGCTGAGCACTCCCGGAAGTGCTGGTAGATTCTGTTTCAGAATCCGCTTGATGGCAGTGTTGTACCACTAATACCCGCTTGCCTTCGCCCTGCTGCACTCCCTCTGCCTTTTGCAGAGCAAAAAACTGCCAACCTTTCCACTAGAGGTACAAAATGGCTGCTCACCAGCTTGGGCTCTGGCCTTTACTGCACTGGAACACAAAACTAAACCATGGATTTGGGCTCTGCCCTGGGACTTGGGAGGGTCCTCTAAATGTCCATGTTAGACACAAAAGGGGAAAGGCTCCCCTCCAGAAATCCCAGCCCACTCACGGCTCTACCATATGCTTTTCTTGGCTCTGCCCTCAGGCAGAGGTCAGGGAAAACCCTGCCCACCTGGACCTATTCTGATGGGCCTTCTCATAGGACTCTTAGCATGCATCATGGCCACTGGCACACAGGCCAGCAGTGACAGATCAAAATGGCCTAAAACTGCAGTGCCTCAACCCTGCTTCCCTCTGCAGGGAACAGCACTAATATGTGCAGTCACCCCTCCCTACTTGAAAGAAATTGAGTTACAAGGCTTAGCAGGCAAAGGTAGGTCACCTAGAAAGCCAGATGTCAGAGGAGAGACCTAGGCAGGCTCAGTATTTTCCAAGATCAGCTGAAGTCTTGGATAAGATAGGGTGAAAATCAGGCAGTCTTGGATGCTTGTGATAATTTATGTGTTGTAGGCCAGTGACAGTTGTAGATAGGCAAAGCTATAGCCTTTGGGTGCTCTGGTGTACAGAATATTATTCCATGTGACCTAAGGTCAGGTGGACATGGACAATGGTGGCCATTTTTGGGTGCTGGGACACATGACAGATGGGAGCATCCCCATGTTAATGCTTTAAAAGCATGTATGTTGTGAGGGCCTCAGTTCTGTAGACAACCCAGAGTCAAACAAGAACCACAGTACCCTCTCAGCAACTGCTGCCCCACCCTAGCATCAAGTTGTCACACTTGGGGATTCTGTTTAAGTAACTTGGGGATTCTGTTTAAGTAATCTTGTTTGTCCACCCTGCATCTCTTTCACAGGACCCATTAAGCTCAATGTGTCTTTTTTCAACAATTCAAAATGCACATGCCTGTACACATTCTCTGTCTCTCTCTCTCCCTCTCCTCCCACTTCTCCAATTTTCTGTCCTGCAGTCTCTTTCTTTGGCTACTGAGTATTTATGTAGATATACATGTTCTTCATGCCTAAGGTCGTTAAGAACCCCTTGCTTTCTTCATCAAACTATGTGACAGAGTGAATGGGAGAATTCCTAGCATACTAAAAGACATTTCCTGACAAGGAGTGAACACAGTCCCAATACCAGCAATAACCTGGATAAGTAGGGACACAGCTATTGTGTCCCTGCCTCCCTATTCATCCTAAGCCTTCAGGTGACCTAATTTAGTTCATCCTGCAATGGGCCAAAGACCAGGGAGTCTCCTCTGATAAACAGTTACACCGCAGGTACAGGTTTTCTATTTAACTTTGACACTTTTGCCCCCACCCACCAACCTGATTTGAGCACAGGGTGCAGGGCACAAGAAGCTGCTTGCTGGCACCTGGTCTCACCACCTGAGGTCCTTGATCTGGCAATTCCCATCCCATCCTCAGCATGGTAAGAATGTTCTCACTAGGAAAGGGCTCCAAGAGGTGACCTAGAGATATTCCTAGTCTTGGGTGCACTTGGTGAGACCTATAAGAAACAACCAACTCACCATCCAGCTGAGTACTGCCTCTGGCAATAAGTTGGTGGCACCTGTGCAGTGGTCACTCCCTATGGTGGCTCAATGTTGCTCTCACTACATCCTAGGGGAGTGGTCGCAGACAGGACAAGTCTCCAAACACAGTTGCCTCTGACTTGCCATTGCTGAGAGTGGGGATATAGATAGTAGGGTGAGGTTAGAGGTAGGCCTGGCATATGCTGAACACAGGAGAACCAGGAGAGATGGCAGAGCAGGAGATTCAGGGGTCTTCTCTTCCACAAAGGTGGCATACATCTACAGAAGGCTTAAAAGTTAGGAGAGCTCTTCCTAGATTATTCATGCATCTGTCTGGCCAGAAAAATAGCCAGGATCTCCAGTACATAGAGGACACAGAGAAGGCCACAAGTGATTTCCACTGGCCAGGGTGACTTCCAGCGAGTTCCCAGCATGCCTACGGCCTTTGTGAGCTGCATTCCAAGTACTGTTGTCCAAGAAAACAAAGGAAGAAGCCAGGCCTTGGTAGCTCACTCCTGTAATCCTAGTGACTCAGGAGGCTAACTTCTGAGGAGTGTAGTTTGATGCTAGCCTGGGCAGGAAAGTCCCTGAGACTCTTATCTCCAATTAACTACCAGAAAAGTGGAAGTGGAGCTCAAGGTGGCAGAACACTATCATTGAGTAGAAAAGCTCAAGAACACTGCCCAGGTCTGAGTTCAAGCACCAAGGCCAAAAAAAAAAAAAAGATGTAAAAAGAAAAAGGAAGAAAAAAAAGAAAAAGTGGTATCTTGGATGGGATGCCAGAAAGATACCTAGACAGCCAGGAATAGGCCAATGCTCAGGGATGCCAAGACCATCTTGAGTTACTGAAAGGAAAGCTCTGTGCAACAAGGACCCTCCTGTTTCCAAGAACTGGCTTGGCATCTGCCTGGTGCACCCCAAACACCGTGATGCTGAGGGCTCTGCAGACACTGCTTGCAATTCCTCCCAGAATGGCCACCACCTGACCACAGAGCCTGTGCTTCCCGTGCCCCCATTGCAGCCACCATATTAGGCCTTCTGCGCTTGTCTCTTAACTCTCACTCTTCCATGGCCCAGTAAGTGACAAGTCATCTCCACTAAAGGCTCTCCACATGCTTGCCTCCAGGAGTACTCTCCTTTGTCTTGCTGGTCCCCCAACTGTCCCTGTGCGCATGCGCACCCCTCTAGTTCTAAGAACGCTTGTGGAAGTGCTGGTGGATTCTGTTTCAGAATCCGCTTGATGGCAGTGTTGTACTGGGAATGCCAGCCTGTCCTTCCCTCCGATATGCTCCCTCCGCCGTTTGTGGAGCAAAAAACGCCAATCTTTTCCAGTCGGACTGCTCTTCCATTTAGGCTCAGGATTACACAGCCTAGGTACAAAAAACCCACGCTTGACCCTGGACCTTGTAGGATTCTTTTTGCGTTCATTAGGCACAATTAGAGAAAGGGAGGAAGATATCTAGGGAGAAAAAATAAGACTGTCCAAGCGGCTGAGGAACCCGACACACAGGCTTCCGTAGATGCCCACAATCTTTCCCAGACATGGCTGCCACCTGACCACAGAGCCCTTGTTCCTGCTGGGAGCTACTCTAGCAGACTGCCTGGGCTTTCTTTCCCCCTGCTTGCCTCCAGGAGTACCCTCCTTTGTCCTGCCGGTCTCCGGGGGTCCCATGCGCTTGGGAGCCCTCTCCAGTTTTAAGAACTCTTGGCGGAAGTGCTGGTGGATTCCCTTTCAGTTGTGCCAAGGGTTCCTCACGTGCTTACCAGGAACTGGAGCCCTTCCTGGGGCTCCCCGATGTGTTCTGTGTATCCCTGATTTTCCCCTGCACATGCACATCCCTTCCAGTTTTAGGAAGAGCTCGGGTAAGTATTGGTGTATTCCATTTCAGAATCCACTTGATGGCAGTGTCGTACCAGAAATGGCAGCCTGCCTTCCCCTGCTGCACTCCCTGTGCCATTTGACATACTTTCCCACTAGAACTCCAAAATGTCTGTTCACCTACTGGACACTTGCTGGGTGCACAGAACCAAAGGATGTACCTTGACTCTGTCTGGGACTCTGGAGGGTCTTCTTTACGGATCTCTGGAGAGTATTCTTTCCAATTGCCTTAGGCACAAAATGGGAGCAGCTTCCCCTGTAGGTGTCCCATCCCACCCAGGTCTCTAACCTACCCTTTACCTGCCTTTGGGCAGATCTCAGAGAAGTACAGCCAGAATGGGCACCAGGTTAGCCATCTGCCCAGCAGGCCTGGGACTCTGAAAGGTCCTTTATGTGACTGCCTTAGTAAAAGGGACAGGCTTTCTCTCCAGCATCCTACCCCACTGAGAGCTTCAGCCTACCCTTTACCTATCTCTACCTTTGGCCAGGTCTCAAAGAGGAAAGATGGACAGAATGGACAACTGCTTGGGGACAACCCTGTTGTCTTCCGACCTGAACCAATTCTGACTCCTTAGAACTCTCAGCATGCATCATTGGCCACTGACTCACAGTTGCAGCAGAGACCACTGGTGAGAGCTAAGTCCCTGAACCTTGATCCTCTCCTGGGAGACATTCTAGCACAAGGAATCAGTTCTTACCATCTGATATCCAGAACAAGGATGGGTATTGGTAGATTGGTCAACCAGTGGGCCAGCCATTTGCCAGAGGACAGGCTCACACAAGGCCTCAGTGCTGTCCTACATTCCAGCTGAGGTCTTGTGTTCAGATAGGATGACAGTCACTCAGGCAGAGCCCTGAAGCTTGTGATAGCTCCTGTTTTTTAGGCAGAAGCACTACCGTGGACTAGTAAGGCCAAAGCTCTTTGGTGCTCTGGATCACAGGTCATCTTTTCGTGGGACTTCTGATCATGTGGTACTAAGATATAAGACAGATGGGGACTGCCCCCCACCCCCAGTTATGCTGGTTTTTTATTTTATTTATTTTTGGGTCCGGTTGTTGGGCCTGAACTCTGGGCCTGGGCGCTGTCCCTCAGCTCTTCAGCTCAAGGCTAGCGCTCTACCACTTCAGCCACAGTGCCACTTCCGGCTTTTTTCTTTTTGCTTATGTGGTGCTGAGGAATCGAACCCAGGGCCTCAGGCATGCAAGGCAAGTGCTTTACCACTGAGCTACCTTCCCAGCCCTTTGTTTTTTTGTTTAAAGGCAAGTTTTACACCACCATATGTGTCTAAAATTGCCAAGAAATAAAATCTCATTTGCCTATCTAACCTGTACCCCTTCCCCAGGCTTAATAGGTTTCAGTCTCTCCCTCCCACTGTCCAAAACACAATATGGGTTTAAACACACATATACTAGTGTCTGTTCTGTCTCAGTCTGCCCTACCTCCACTCTATCCTGCTGTCTGTGTTTGTCTCTCTCTGTCTGACTTCTGGGTGTTTATGTACATTAACAATCTCTCTTCCTCAGTCCCTCATATCTGTTAGCATTATGCCCACCTTTGGTCCTCAGCTCCACCCATACCTGAGCTCCTCCTTGCCCAGGAATTCCCACTGTACAGCTGGCCATTCCCTCTCTCCACCCAGACCTACTCGAGCAAGCACCTACCTCATGTGTGCCATGTGCTCCCTCTCCTGGGAAATATGGCTCTTATCCTTTCATTTGGTGTGAAGCCTGGGACAGGTTTCCTGGTGGATTTAGCAAATCCCCACTTATGTGGGTCCAACCAGTTGCCCTGGGACCCAGCACACAATCCTACACTCCTGTCACTAGAGGACCACCAAGGTAACTTTCTCCTGACCTAGCGCTCTCCCTGCCCATCCAACACCAGCTAATTAAGTCCAACCCCCAAGTAAGTGATGAGTTCGGAGGCTTAGCTTTCACTGTCCTAGCTCCATGCTTCTGTGGGAGGGCTTCAGGGCCCTCAAAACTTGGCCAAGTATCTAAGCCAGAGGGCCTTCATGGCCAATGGCCTCAGTAGCTGGGGGATGCCATTGGAAAGTGATGATCTGATCATTGGTATTTTTTGGACCAAATTGCACTGCCAAGGACCCTCCGCAGCAAGCTTTTACCTCCTTTTGCCTCTGGTCACTTATCGTGGGAAGGACACAACTAAGTTTCTTTACAATCAAATTTGGCCCCAAATTTAAAACTCCACTTCCGTGAGCGCTCGGGCAGGGAAAATCTCTCTCTTTCTCTCTCCCCCCTTTTCTCTCTCATAAACCTTATAATAATCTTTCTCGTGTGCCTGCTTGCCTCCAGGTGGTCCCCTGGGATGGACGTGAAGGATCCTTTCAACACCTATGCCTAATTTTCTTACTGCCTCATTACCATCAAGAACCCATTACCCATTTGCTCCAAAGAAAGACATAGGCAAGATTACATTTCCATTATCTCTTCCTCATCCCTTCACAACCCTAACATTGTTACTCCCTGAGGACCCAAAAGAATCTCTCCCCAATTTGCATTAAAGGAAGACCTCAACTAGCAAGTTCAGGCTGTGAGAGAATTCTTAGACTAAGAGGCATTTCTCCAGAATAAGAGAATACCAGCGCCAACAACCAGTGCCATATCTATCCTGCCTCTGCCTCCCTCACCATCTTAGCCATTAATGTGACCTTAAGTTCAACTTGGGATGGGTCAGAGAACCAGAGAGATTACTCTCACCAAAAGCTATGCTACAGAAGCAGGTTCACTACTGGAATTTGGAACTTTGGCACCCACAAGCCTGAGCTCAGCATAGTTGTTTGGGGAACAAGAAGCTGCCTACCAGTCCCAGGGGTCTGACCAGAGCTCTGTGGCCAGGCTCTTCCTACCCATCCTATGCTCACTAAGGATGCTCTCTCTGGGCAAGAGTCTGAGGACTTCACTTCCTAGTCTCACTGTACTTCATGAGACCTACAAGAAATTACCACCTAACCACAACAAGTGAAACCCTGCCTGCACTCTAGAGAGTTGGTGGCAACTATGTAGGGAGGGCACCTCTTTTCGGTCACTCAGTATTGCCTTACCAAACCACAGGTAAAGGGATAAGTCTCCAAATTCAGTCACCTCTGATCTACCCATGCTGAGAGTAGAACTTGAGAACCAAGAGAGATGCCAGCCCTTTGCAGGAGCCTCTCTTCTACACAAGGGTCCTGCATCAACACATGGTGTTAATGTCAGGATGGCCATTTCCTCCTGTTTGTTTCTGCATGGCCAAAGACAATACCTGGATCTCCTCTCTAAAGATGACACCCAAGGTAGAGAACAAGAAAATTCCACAGGGCCTAGAGAGCTACATAGTACTAGCCTAAGTTACCAGCAATCCTGGGGTCTTTGTACTGCTGCCTTCCCACTACTGCTCAGGCAGGAAAGAAAGGGTTGGGGGAAACCTAGGTTTCTGGGCACCTAGGTTCTCTCTGTAATCCTATCTATTCAGGAGGCTGACATCTGAAGATCTCAGTTGGAAGCTAGCCCAAACAGCAAAGTCCAGGAGTCTTATCTCCCATTAACCACTAAAAGAACCAAGAATTGGAGTCAGGTGCTTGTGGCTCATGCCTGTAATCGTAGCTACTCAAAAGGCTGAGACCTGGGAATCTCATAAAAACATTATGCAGGGTTGTAAGGGGATAAGATCTAGAAATCTAAATCTACATAAATACCCAGAAGAGAAACAGACACACACACAATTAGTGCAGAACAGAGACAACCAAACAGGCACAAAGAGAAGGAACTAGTATGTGTTGAAGAATGTACCATGTATTTCAGACAGGACAATAGATGCTGACATATATGGAGCCCAGGGAATGGGTATATTGTGGACAAAGGAGATTTTGTTTTTGTGCAATCATATGCACTTAGGGGGTCCAAATCTGGCAGGGGTGGGGCAGGAATAGTTGAAGGGGTACAGGATTTCTTTCTTTCTTTCTTTCTTTCTTTCTTTCTTTCTTTCTTTCTTTCTTTCTTTCTTTCTTTCTCTCTCTCCTTCTCCCTCTCTTTCTCTCTCTCTCTTTTCTGTTATGGGCTTGAACTCAGAGCCTGGGCACTGTTGCTAAGCTCTTTTACTCAATGCTAGCTCTCTACCACTTCCTGAGTATCTAGGATTACCGGCCTGAAGCATAAACGCCCCCGTAGATTTATTGTTTTGACATCTATAGAACGGAGGGTTCTACTGCCTGCCTGCTTTGACAGCATAAGTTGTAAGTTGTCAATCTTCCTCTCTGTCTTGCATCTCAGCAGCAGAAACTTTATGGAAGTCCAACTGAGCAGCAGTCCTATTGAGAGATGATCTGTTCTCAAGAGCACCAAAGAGCTTCAGCCACCATTGCTATTCTTCCTGACCTATTACCAAAGGTTGTGCCAGAAAAAGGGTAGTAGGTTAGAATGTCCAGGGGGTGGGATCCCTGGAAGGGGCACCATTCCTTCCTTGTGCCTAAGGCATGGCAGAAAAAGTACCTGCCTGGGAAGATGAAAGTCTCTCTCAGCTTGGGTTCTGTGTACCAGGGCTACATAGCTCAAAAACGTTGGTGTTTTTTATGGTGCAAAGGGCAGAAGGAGCACATCAGGGAAAAGGACAGGTACAACACTGCCATCAACCAGATCCAGAAAAGGAATCCACCAACACGTCTGTGAGTTTAGAACTAAAAAGGGTGCATACATGCCCAAGAGATTCTGGTTACCACCGGACAAAGAAGAGTTCTCTTCGAGGACTCTGAGTCCTGGGAGGTGTGTGGGCTGCCCATGGCAGAGCTGACCTATGGCTCACTGTGCTGAGGAAACCTCAAAAGTGGGAGACCAGCCCAGGTGGCCAGCTAGGATAGCAGTAGGCAGGCACAAGAAGCACAGGTTCTTGCAGTTAGGATCTGCAGAGCCTTGTGCATCTCCAGGCTCTGCGACCACATGAACATTTGGCCTTCATCCCTTTTTTGTGTTTGTGTGTGTGCAGAAACTCACAAGTGGTAAGCAAGTGGGTCCTTGGACCCAGGAGGTTCCCTGTTGCACAGAGCCCCATGCTTCCAAGAACCTGTGAATATGTGGTATCCCTGACCAGTGTGGTACATTGTCTCAGCTCCCTGGGCTTGGTTCTCCATCCCCAGTGTTCTGGAGAAATCAACTTTTTTCTAGTTCCCCTGGTGATACTGCAATGTGTCACAAATCCTTAAGTATTCTGTGAACATTCTCTAACACAGGCTAATCCCAAGCCCCATTATTGAAAGAAATCCTTTAAAAAAAAAAACAAACCTACAGGTTTAAAACCATCTGTTGGGCCAGGCACTGGTGGCTTATTCTTGTAATCCTAGCTTCCCAGGAGGCTGAGATCTGAGGATCATGGTTCAAAGCCAGCTTGGTCAGGAAACTCCGTGGGACTCTTTCCTTCAATTAGCCAACAGAAAATGAAGTGGCTTAAAGTAGTGGAGGGCTAGCTTTGCGCAAACAAGGTCAGGGACAGTGCTCAGGCCCTGAGTTCAAGCCTCGGGACCCCACAGTCACCACCACCACCACCACCATAACAACAACAAAAAATTGTTGCAATGCAATGGTCACTAAGGATCCCAATGATTCTTATTTTGTCTATACAACCCAGCGTTCAGAA